AAAGAGATAATATATAATTATATGACATAAAAAATAAAAAAGAGATACCGATTAATGAAGGACGTGGGCGTAGAATAGCCTAACTGCAGTCGCGATCTGATAACTTTTTCCTGAACGCTGACCATCCTGGAACTTCGTGAGCTTTGATGTACTCTTGTTGTTCTAATCACTTGATAACAATGATGTTGAGTTTGTTGGGAACATCCCGACAGCGATCTATCGCTATCTCGTTGTTCTATCATGGTGAACATGATAATAATAATAACAATGATGATGATAATAATACTACCACTACTACTACTAATAATAATAATAATAATAATAATAATATTAATAATTTTAATCTATCACTTTTTCACAGCACAACTACAATTACACTTGACTTTTTCTTCATCATCATCTTTTCTTCTTCCTCTTTCTCCTTTCTCACCATTATTCAGAGATTGTCTTTATCGGTATATATTCTTCGCCATTGTTAATTCCCATCGATGATATCACAGTATTATTTTTTTTTTTTCTTTTTTTTTTCTTTGGTTTCACAGAATCGTCCCGCACAGACACATAGACGCACACACACACATATACGTATCTCGAAAATTGTCCTGTTCAGTTAAGATACATTTCGGTATCCAACGCAGACTTATTGTTCTTGTTGTTGTTGTTGTTGTTGTTGTTCCTATTGTTGGTTTTTTTTCAAAAAATATTTTTTTTATTATTTTCTTTTTTTTTTTCTTTTTTCTTTCTTTTATAGAGTTCTGGAAATCGTTTCGAGAGAAAGAGAGAGAGAGAGAGAGAGAGAGAGAGAGAGAGAGAGAGAGAGAGAGAAAGAGAGAGAGAAAGAGAGAGGGAGATTTTGTTTTATATAAAAACTTTAAGTTCGATTTTATTCATTTTGAATTTATATTTTTTTAATGATTTAATTATATGAAAAAAAAAAAAAATAAAAAATAAAAAAATATATAGGAGAAATTGCAAAAATCTTTTTATATTATTTTATAATATAATGAAATAAATACCATGGAAAAACATGCGAATGGAAGCATGCGAATTTGAAAAATACAAATGTCGCGAGCTCTTTCACCTAATTTCAATAGATATATTATCGTATGACATATATATATATATATATATATATATATATATATATATATATGAGTGGATTTAAGTATTATACAAAGTTAACTATCAACACGATTTCGCTTGTTCTTCTTTTCCATTCGATACGACTCGGCAACTCGAATCGTTACGACTTTCTAACGATGTACGATTAATATGCATACGCTTTGAAATGCTTCGATGACGATGACGACGACGTCGTTTCGATATGGTTGTTTAATCGCAAACGCAAATCCCAATAACTTTTTCGATTTTTTGATTTTCGAACAAATTTCAATGAACTTTCTACGGTGTCTGTATATACGTATATATATATATATATATACTCGTGTGTGTATGTGTGTTCTGTGTTTATGTGTATGGTTCATTTTTCTTTTTGATACTCGATAATTTTCTATTAATTAATTTTGAAATAAAATAAAAACAAAAATAATGAAGAAAAGGAAAGAGAAAAAAAAATTAGATAACATAAAGGTTATATTTACTTATTATGCTATAATGAAAAAAATAATTATAATATTATATTATGCTCGTTTTGAGAATTGTTTTTTACAAAAAAAAAAAAAAAGTTTTTTCACCAGCCTGTCAAAAAGAACATTTAGTATATTAAATACTTTAATACAAAATACATTATATATATAAATATATATCAATATAATATATTCTAATATAGAATATATTATATAACACATAATATATAATATAATCTATTCTAATATATATCATATTCTAATATACCATACATTTTACTATACCATATACTATAATATATTTCAATAAATAAAATATATTACAATACATTTTAATACAGAGTTACATTATATACTCTAATAATAGTACATAATATACTCTATCTCAGTATACCCTACTATAATATACTTATTATATCATACTAATATAACCCTAGTATATTCTATAACGCACATTATAACAAATCAAAATTAATGACTGAAAAATAATAATAATTTGTCGTCAATGAAATAAATTATAACGATACAAATATATACCATTTTAAACATATATACATATACATATACATATATATTTATTTATATATAATAGAAATAAATTTGGTAGTTTATCTTATTCGATTAAATGATAATTTTAATGGCTTACGTAGAATTGTATACAATACCCGTTAGAATGACTTTTGATTTAGAGCTTCTAATTGCATTAACCGTAACTTGACGTGAATGTTAAACGTCTATCGACGTTTGGATATTAAAAGTTAGTACGAATATTCTACTATTGCTGATTTCTCTGACGTTCTCTTGATTACGTAAACGGTTTTACGGAACCCGCAATATGTTCGGTGATTGCCGTCTACCATTATTCCCTTTCTTCTTTTATATATATACATATATATATATATATTTTTTTTTTTTTGAACGATCGTTTACACTCGAGTTAGGGTCAAGACAATTTAAAAAGGTGCGACAACCAAATTGCGACCGGAAAAGTTTATGATCGTTGAAAACGGACGTGTCGAGGTGGTATCCTCGAAAGAGGGGGATATATACTACCGTTTGTTCTTGTTTAGCTCGTTCGGTATTGGGGACGCGCACGTTCGGAAAAAATCAAAGACAATGAATAATAATGAACGTACACGTTTCGAATATCACTCCATTCAATCGTCTCTTTCTCCTTTAACTTTTAAACTATTAACTACATCTTTTTTTTTTTTTCTTTATTTTTTTTTTTTTTTTTTTTACCAGTTTACACTTCGATAATATATTTCAGATTTGACTTAGATTTTTTCTTTTGACATACGTCAAAAGTTAACCACTCCCCCCAACCCCTCCCCATCCACCCCCTCGTTAACTATTGAATTTAAATAAAACGACGATTTACATTATACAATTTTGTATTGAAACGTTTATTTGCTTCTCCACTTTTTTTTCTTCTTCTTCTTTTTCTTTCTTTTTTCCTTTTTTTTTTTTGTGTAACATCACTTTTTTTTTTTTTTTTTTTTTTTTTTTTTTTTTTTTTTCATTATCGATATATAGATTTAATACGTTTTTTTCTATTATTATTATTATTATTATTATTATTATTATTATTATTAATTTTTTCAGTATTAATTATTAAGGTTAACGTTGAGGACGTAATAAATGAATAAATAAATAAATAAATAAATAAATAAATAAATAAATAAATAAATAAATAAATAAATAAATAGAATATTTATCATTTATCTATATAACTTCAAGGATGAAATTTGATATCACACAATTTACATAATATTAATATATATGTACATACATGTATGTATGTATGTATGTATGTATGTATGTATGTACATATGTTATATACGTATTCTTTGAAATTGTATAAAAATTCGTCGAGCAAAAATCAATAATACCTTAAATAAATAAAAATCGATAGGATTCTATTGTACAGAGCTATATAGTAAACTGTTATATATCATGAATTCTCTCTGCCAATTATATTATATAATCCAGATTCAATAAACGAGACATTTGTAGACGAACAGATTAAAAAAAAAAAAAAAAATAACGCAGAAAGAGAAAATGGAATAAAAAATAATAGAAAAAAAAAAAG